GGATGAAATTTGTTTCTATAATAAAAAAAGACAAGAAAATCATTTATCTTTTTATATTCGTTTGACTTTGTTTTGCATGAGAATTATTAATTAAAGGAAAATATTTTTTTATAATAGCTCTTAGAATTTGTTTCAATTGCCAACAAAAAAAAAACATATATATATATATATAATTACAGGGGCTGGAATTGGAATTCTCACCATATTCCAATTCAAGAAAAACCGAGAAAATGAAACTTGAAAATGGAATTCTAGGGAAAAAAATAAATAAATGCAATCAATAGAAAATTTTTACCTATCAAACATACAGTCAATGATCTATTCACTAATGTGATAACAATGTCATACCAATAGTTTCAATTTGGGAAAATTTATTTTAACTCCCCAATCGCACCCCACCTTGTAGGTTCTTTTAAATGACTTGACCTAATGTTTCTAGATCATGAAGGAACTTAGAAGACACAGACTCATCAACATCATGGACCTATTGAGATTGACTAATCTTCGCCAAATATTGTAAATGCAACCACAATATTTGCAGAGAGCAAGCATCCACAGCAAAAAACTCTTTGCCAAAACAAATCAGCCAACCGAACATCAATTCTGTTCGTGAATATTCATCGCAACAATGTCAAAAGATGAATCAGTACAAGCACAATTAACCAAAGTAATGGCAAAATACAAATATAAGATGTTATTGAATACGATGAATTACAATACTTGACAAAACACATACTGCAGTATCTAAGAAATATATTTCTTGAGATTTTTGTAGAGGACTTTTTGCTTTGGAAGGAAAATACTGAATTTATGAGACCATAACTGCAGGCCTCTTACATGCACAGCGAAGTTCTTCATTCTGATTTCTATAATGCTCTATTGCAAAACATAGCTGTCGTATAGCCTCTCTTTTCTCCTCAGCTCTATCCAAGATCAAGACTCTCTGCCTTTCCACCTCTTTCCCTAATTCCTCGACTCTAGATCTTAGTTCATCAGTTACCTTATTTGCATTTTGAGATTCTGCACTCAGCTGAACATTTTCAGAATGCAACTGTTGCAGACGACCCTCTGTTTCTTGAACTTGCTTATCCCGGAAACTTAGCTCCGCACAAAGTGTCAGTAACTTAGCATTGAGATCATCTTTCTCAGCCCAGAGCGCGTCAAACTCCAGTTTCAGCCTATCTAGATCTTCATTCATAGTGTTCACACATTCATTTTTCTCATATAGCTCTAGTGTTATTCTCTCCATCTCATCTAGCCAACTCGCTTCCTGGGCTTCATGCATTCTTTTCATCTCATTTTTGTTGGCTTCACATTGCTTAATCTCATTAGCTAATGATTCACACTGCAATTCCCATTCCTCAGTCCTTGCTTCTTGGGTGGTCAAACGTTCTGACAAATTAAAAATACGTGACTTAAGCTGTGCCGTCTCTGAAGCAAAATTTTCCGAGGCATCATTCAGTGCTGCAGTCAGCTTCGTTATCTCATAATCACGTTCTGCTAAATCTGCATTGTTTTTTAACATACACTCCTGCAAATCAAGGGCTCGACATTTCTCCGATTTTTCCAATACAGCTATTTGCATTTGTAGCTGGGAAACCTTTCTGTTCTCTTTTTGCATATGAACCTCGTGCATTTGTATCTCTCTATTTGCTGATTCAAGCTGAGTTTCCAGACTACCCAATTTTACCAACAGTGATGCATTCTTTTCCTGTTCACTTTTCATTCTGGCAATTTCG